CGCACGCACGCACGCACGCACGCACGCACGCACGCACGCACGCACGCACGCACGCACGGCACGCACGCACGCACGCACGCACGCACGCACGCACGCACGCACGCACGCACGCACGCACGCACGCACGCACGCACGCACGCACGCACGCACGCACGCACGCACGCACACACACACACGCACACACGCACACACGCACACCCGCACACCCGCACACCCGCACACCCGCACACACCCACACACACCGAGACACAGAGAGAGACGCACAGAGACACAAAGAGAGAGAGAGAGAGAGAGAGAGAGAGAGAGAGAGAGAGAGGGAGAAAGAGAGAGAGAGAGAGAGAGAGAGAGAGAGAGAGAGAAAGAGAGAGAGAGAGAGAGAGAGAGACACAGAAAGAGACACACGGAGAGGGACACAAGACAGATACGAAGAGAGATACACAGAGAGACAGAGAGACAGACAGACAGACAGACAGACAGACAGACAGGCAGGCAGGCAGGCAGGCAGGCAGGCAGGCAGGCAGACAAAAAGGCAGGCAGGCAGGAAGGCAGGAAGGCAGGAAGGCAGGCAGGCAGGCAGGCGGACAGACAGACAGACACATAGACAGACAGGCAGGCAGGCAGGCAGACAAACAGACAGGCAGGCAGGCAGACAGACGGACAGACAAACAGACAGACCGACACACACACACACACACACACAAATTTACAGACAGACAGGCAGGCAGGCAGGCAGGCAGGCAGGCAGGCAGGCAGGCAGGCAGGCAGGCAGGCAGGTAGGCAAACAAACCAGAAACACAAACAGAAACACAAACAGAATCGCACAAACACACAGACAGACAGACACACAGAGACACCTCTACCCCTTTTTGGCCCAATTCCCGCTGTGAGGGGCCTTCATTCTCAATTGACCCGGAACCGCTTGATTTTGCGCCGAGTGACACTCAGCCCGGCAGCCGAAGGACAGATCTGACAGCCAGAACTGCGGTGGGAAGCTCCCCGTTCGCAAGACGCATCTGCCAAGAATCACACTCCATGCGAAGCTGGGCTCAACTTGCTGCTTGCGGTGGGTCAATGAAACTGGAGAAACATCTCAAAAACGGGTCTGTCAGACTGTCGCCGGCGAAAAGAGAAGGGCATCTAAAACAAAATCAGCTGTCTGACCTGGTGGGCAAGCACCATAGCTCATGCAAATAGTGAGTGCAGTGCACTCGCACCCCGGGAATTGGAACCTCATCCCAAAGGCATCAAGGGAGGTCAAGTTCAATGCTTTGTTGAAATCTCACCTTCGTGGATGGAGAAGCAAAACAAGCCAACCTCTTTCTCTTTGCCGCGAAAATGGTCCAAACCTAGGTCCTCCAATAGAGAGGTTAGAACACGGGTGCCCTTTGTTCTGTAGTCTATTTTAGTAGGGGAACCCTCCCCCAAAAAAGGGGAGAGAAGGGCACCCAGCTGGGGGACCCAGAAACCCAAGCACGAAGTCCAGGAACTCAGGGAGCTTTCACTTGAGCCCCAGGCGCACCGAGACCTGGCAGGGTCTTCGTGCCGCCGGACTAGTAGAAATCTTCCGAACCCCCCGTTTGTGACGAGTGGTTCTCAGATGCCCAGTGGCCATGGGAAAAAAGGGCATCCTTTCTTGGTTGGTTGCGTAAAGGGACACCCTTCCCCCCCAAATAAGCTCGGGTGATATCACCAACAGCATGCGGTGGAACCCTGGTGGAACCCTCGTGGAACCTTACCTCAGGGCCGCCCCGGACCACCCCGGAGCCTATCTGGGCTGAGACCCCAAAGCTTTCAGCTGTTGGGGAAAAAAGGGAAAACGGGCGCCAGTGGGCAACAAAGGATTGACACACTTCAGTTGGGATGGAGGAAGCTGTCTGGGACAAAGGACCTGGATAGCACTTTGCATCGGCAACAATCCACAGCACATGTCCGCGCTTTTGTCGGATATGTTCTGTGCCTGCTTTGCTCGGGCTCCGAAGGCGCGAGCCATGTTGCAAGCTCTGTTGCTCGAGGCGAAAGAATCGGAGCCGCCTTAACATCAGATCATCCCAACCCATCCCAATGGCGGATCGGCTAAATGGAATGGTCTCCTACGTTGCCAGGCACAAGAACCATGAACAAAAATGTAACTTGGTCAATGTTCAACCCTAAACCTACGATGAAATCTTGTCCACCATCTTCTTAGTCAAAGGGCACAATCTAACATGGTACCAATCCTTGACCCGATCGTTGCGCCACAAGAAGCTTGAACAGAAACAGTTCATGGCACCAAAGAGAGTTCTGTTCTCAGGTACCCCCGACACGACTGCAGTGGGGGTTGGTCGGAATGGCTTGGATTTGTAGTTGTGGTTTGGTATTGACATTCTTGGTTGCTGTTGAACCCTCTGCAAACAGTTTTTCTCTTTTTGCGGGTTTAGTGGAAAACTCCCCACGATGCACAACCGCTGGTCTCAAGGGAAACCATCTAGGCAAATTACAATAATTCGTAGGTCGTGAGATATTTTCGAAATTTCACGGAAACAAAATGGTGACGTCGATTTAAAATATGGAAATAAGTGCCGTCGCCCCGCGCAACGGAAACGCGGAAACCCCTATTGATCCCAAACGAGCCTAGTTTGTCAAACCATTCTTCGTGCGAAGAACCAGGGTTTACAAACCCAGTCTTGAAACATGTTGGTGAAAAAACAGCCTATTTCGCTGAAATGGGCTTGGATCAGGCCCACTGCCCCAGAAACCAAACGCAAATGGATTTAAAAAAAACTGGTTGGAGGTTGGAAGTTGTCATCTCAACACTCAGACAAGAATAGGAACCTGAAAAGCAGCCTATCTCATTAAAATAGGATTGATTCAACCTGCTCCACAAGCAACACACACGCCCGTCACCGACGACCGGATGGAGGCGGAGCAACGCAGCGAAGCCTTTGCAGATTGCAACATGCTGCGCTGGTGCTCTCTGTGATCTTTTTGAATTTTCTTTCGTCGAAAAGAGCCATACGCTGTAGCCCACACGAGGGGTGAGGGTCTGCTCCTGCAAGCAAATTTCTATCGCTGCGGGGGCTGATGGGGACAAGGCAAGGCTGCCGCCTGGCTTACGAGGCAGGAACCGCGTTCCCGAGAAATTTGTTCGTTTCCTGTCTGATTGGTGGGAGACGGCGTAAGGATCCTTTTTTGCAAAATAGGGGGTTTCTATCGCGGGCAAATTTTGTTGGAATCGGTTTGTGCTTGGCTTGGAGATTGCCAAAAGCCTCTGCGTGGGTGGGGCGCCCATTGCTCGGTACGCGCTGCGCCCCACATGAGTTGGCAAAAAGTTAAAGTCCTAACAGCCAAGCAAAATGCACCAAAGAAAAAGTTTCTTTCTTCTGGGTTGACCATGCAGCATGCAGCGTGCTGGGGATCAAGCTTCAAAAGCCTCCAATGGCCATTTCAAGCAAATCAACATATGAAAGACCAAAGGAACAGTGCACCCCTATTTTTGCGAAATAGGGCATTCTCTAATTTGCAGCTGAACCCAACAATCGGCCAAATTGCCCAAAAGAGGCCCTCAAACATCCTGGTGTAGTGGCATTACGCTTGCCCCGGAGCATCTGTGTCCACGATGTGGGGGTTCAATTCGTGCCTTTTGCCGACTCTTGGCGCTCGCTTCTTTTAGATGGTGTCCAAAATGCAAAACCCAGTTTGTGAAAATAGGGCTGCTTTCTGAAAAATCGTTTTCACTGAGACCTCCCAGTGCTTGCTATGGTTATTTCGAGTTGATGATCAACTGTTTTTTGCAAGGCTGGGAAAAGAACAATGAACCACTGCAATGCCCGCTTGTATATTTTCAAGCACCAGGTCGTTATTTCGAAGTGACGTCGCTGAGGTCGCTTTAAATCACCTAGAAACCATGTAGCGACATGGGAAAACCAAGGCGGAGCTCCATTTATAGTAACCAAGGGAAACCACCAACGGAAAACCCTGGTACCTGTCACTCTACCCTTTCTCTGCATGAATTCATGCTCGCCTTGAACCGCAAAGAACGTAATGTCTAATTGATTCTAATTGAAAAGAACAAGCTACAGATTGACTAGCTTCGCTTTGCAGGGAAACTGGACCGAACTAATGTTTTAGGGGTACTAGTCACTGGTGTTGACTGGCATGTTGATTTTGTGGAGACATTGGAAGTCAAGCGAGCTCAAGCTTGAAAAACCATGGGGAAGCTCCGTGTTCACTGCACTGGCCCCAATTTACAATTCTCAAAGTCACCCTGGTGGCTGAAAGGGGCACAACCCCGGTTTCTGATGGAATTCGAACAGCTGTGGGCCCTTGATTCAGCGTGCTACGCCCAAACCCCAACGGTTGGCCTCTATAGGGATTTCAACACCACAGAAACTGTGCTTGTTTTCATTTAACCACTCTTTTTCCCCGTTTTTTTGGTTGGGAGATTGAAATGTAGAAAAGAACCCAAGCCAACCGACCATTGCTAGATGCTTGCCGAGGCGCCCTGTGCCACTCGTTGGCGAGACAAGGAACTCCCTCCGCCACGCTGGCCTGCGATTCTTGCTTTGCCCACGCCAAACCACCCAAGCTCTGAGCACGACTCTCACAAGAGTCTGTCTCCAAATAGGGACACCCTAAGGCGCTCCCGGGCGGAACCCACCAAATGAGCAACAACTTGGCTTTTTTTTCCCCTGTACATCAGCCCTGTAAAGGATGCGCATGGAGGCGGCAATTTCTATGCCCCCGTTGGACGTAGCATCCTTCGCCCAACACAAATCATCGGGGCGGGTGACCGGGAGCCGCTCTTGACGATGCCTGACGACACGTCTTTTTTTCGTTTCTGAGACAGGTGGGTATTTCTCAACATGACCCCTATAGTTGGGTTCATTTTTGCTTCTCAATCAAACATGGTTTCTCACTTGAGTGGATGGCCAAAGTCCAAACTTGTTGCTTGCAACTAAAATGGCCCACTCCCAAAGTTCAGAAACTCAGAGCGAGAAAAATCGCTACTTTGAGCATTTACTCTCGTTGCTTCGGGGCCTCCGCGCTCCGATTCCCCTTGCCACTCGCCTGAAGTTGGACAAAACCTCGCCAAATTGGTTGAAGCAGCACGCCCGGGTCCTTTACAGGGAACAAGGCGGTTTACCTTTCCAACCCTTGGTATGGCGGCAAACAACTTTCCTTGCAGCCCCCTACTAAAAATGAGCAGAACAAACACTAAAAACATGCCAAACATAGTGAAGATACACAACAGGTGTTCAAACATAAATCCATCAACTCGTCGCTCCCAGCAGTTTTGCAGCGGTTCCTATAGACCGAGCCACGAGCCCTGTGGTATTGGATAGCGGGAGCCTACTGGGAGCTGATCTGAAATGTTCAAAGCACGCAGCTTTTGTGGACATGTTGGCACAAACCAGTGCTTGCAACACAAATGGCTGCTTTTGATCCACCGGCAGCCAAATGATCCAAGCGAAGCCCGGTTCATGCTAGTGGCCAAGCAAGGGGCTTCGAAGCCCCCTTGCAGTCTTGAAGAAAGCGATCCTAGTATAGCTGTTCCTTGCTACCAGGGTTTTTCCTTTAGAACTGGGTTATTCAGCGAGGGAACGGCAGCACCTCTGTAGAACTCTGTGCTGCTGATCTGTCGCCCGGAACAATGCCCAGATCTGCAAACCGAGAAACAAGCACCAGTGCCGAATTCCAGGAAATTCCACGGAAGCCGTTGATCCGAGAAAAGGCAGTCATGATTGACTAATCGCCCTCGCTTGCCGTGGGCAATCAGGATTCTGGGCTTGAACAAGCCAAACAGAAGGAAGCTACCAAGTCTAAGCTCCCGTTTTTACTCGTAACCGAGCCATGCGAGCGACTCCACTCAGTTTCCCAAAGATCAACTCAAATCCCAGGTGAACAAATCTTTGGCCACGGACCAGTCCTGAGCACGACAAGGACTGTCCCCTAGCTTCCACTACTGATTCTGACTCGTGTTCAAATTCTGCTAAGAACAAAAGCAACGAGGACGAGGACGACCTGGGTTCGATGCTTTTACAGGACCTGTTATTTTAAAAGTGATACCCCCCCAAACACAAAAATATCAACTTTGCCCACAAGTCGGTACCTTCAAACAAGAGCACACACACAGACACACACAACCAGGAACCCCCCCCCCACCCGACTGTTCTTCGGGGCATCCGGCCATCGAGCCCTGCTCCACGTGCAAGTTGCACTCGTAGCCTCGGAGCTCGAGATCGAGGCGAGCTAGGGACCACCCAGCAGGGAGGGTGCATTCACCTGCACATTGCAACTTGCTAAATGGTGGTTTCCATTTCTTTATGGTGGAAAAAGCCACATGTTTCAGATGGAAAGGCAAAATGGAGATCTTTTAAGGAGCCCTGCTAAATTATTAGGCTAAGACTAAAGGGGGATAGGATGAATCTCAAACAGCCTGAGATGTATGCGCATTCAGGCGGCCTCGAACAGTTGGGCTAAAACTAAAACAAGCCATCACGGTGAACAAAACATGTTTTCAGATACTTCTGAAAAAGCCAGACTAAAATCAAGCCTCCACCATATTAGTATTTCAGGGCTCCCGATGTTTGCGAAACCAAACACAGTGAAACATGGGAACGGGTACATGCAGACTCACTTCGGGGCCCGACAGGTGATGTGATCAATTCTGCGGGACGCTTGTGGGGAGCCATAGGGAAGATATCACATGAATGAATCTGAAAAGCCCGAAAAAAGATAGAAAAAACAACAACACACAGGCGGTAGTGGGGAGTTGTTTCGTGTTTCTTAAAACAAAACAAAATAAAAACGCTTTTGTTGGGCTCAGTGCCGCGCAGCCACCAACGCACCCGGGGAAAAGGGCTGCGCGAGCTGCTCACGGATGTTAAGAAATCCATGGGAACCGAGTTTGGGCTCCATTTCCTGCGACAAGCAAGATGAGCCCGAAAGGATACAAATGGTTCAACAAAACACATAAGGTCTCTGGCGCTTCCTTTTTCATTTGAATCCATTCGAAAGTGACTTTCCTGGCCCAAGAGAACCCGGCGAAGCCTACACGCGCGCTTGGGCATCTCAGCTTCCGGCGTGCCCAAAACGCTTCCGAGACTGGCCGGCCAAAGACGAGGCTTGAGAGTTCCGGACGAATTGGGGCCCCACCTTGAGCTTGGGGGGAGGAAGTCATCCATGAAAGAAAAGGGCCCAGGTTTCAGTGAGTTGAATGTGGGGTGCTTCCAAGCCAACCTCAACTATTTTGCCTCTTTTGCCTCTTGCCGTTTCGGGGCTGAGGAAACTCAAAGTTGACTCCATTGACATGGGGTTACTCGGGTTGCCGCACGCAACGCATTTCTTAAGGGATTTGATCCCAGGGGCGTAGCGTGTGGGTGCGTCCCCCTCACTGGATGGCTTGGCTTCGCCTTCAAACCGCCCTTGGAGAAAAGTTGACTTGATGGGTTTGCCCGGTTGCTTGATGGTGAGGGGTGATTTCTCATTCGAGCCCTCTGCAAAAGCCAGCGGGTCAAATCCAGATCACAACCAACTGAGAGTTGCCTGATCAGTTTTAGAGGGTTCGCTTTTTGGCTTCAAGAGGGGCATGGTCAAAGAGGGTTGATTTCACTCGGGTTCACAAGCTTTGCCTTTCTCCCCGCAATCAAGTAACTGCCCCATCCAGTGGAAACTCTCGTGGCAGTGGGGCAAGCTCTCCAAGTCTCGTGACGAGATTGAGGTAAGCCTTGCTGCGAGATGTTTCCAGAAATGGGATGCGTAAAAAACGCTGGCGGCCTTTGGGCTGCGAACATTCAAAGGGCAACTTCAGGCGGCTGGCAGAACCATCTTGCGCAAGCACAAGCAAAAATTCATCAATGCTGGAGCCACTTCCATTTGGAGTTGACCATGGGTTGCAAAAACATGGTGATGGCATCAGTTTCTGCCGCGATGAAAAGGAATTGTCCCTTTTAAAAGTCATTGGTCAAGCCTCAAATTTTTGTTTTGCGGGAATCTCTGTTTCACTTTGGATTAACCGGACACCGAAAGCAAAGCGCTATTCCCTTAACTTTGACATGGAGGTTCTCAAAAGAGGGATCCCTATCCCTGTGTCCCTGTAAGCACCCTTCTGAGAAACACCCATTTGACCAATCTCCCAAAATGGTGCATCCTTTTTGGTTGGCATTTCGTGGACAACCGGACAGCCACCCACCATTTCAGGGGACACCATATTTAGAGCAACGCCCATTTGGCCACTTGGGAAGCTCCTCTCACTCGCGCCTAACGGAAGCCGCACCGTCCGGTCATCCAGCATCTCCCGCTTCGCGGGCGGCATCTGACGAACCGACCACCAACTGCGAAGGTTGGGACTCCGTGGTGCCACGGGATTTCTTGCGTTAACCTTCTGCCGACCACTTTCGATTGGGCGTGTCTTGACATGTAGCTATGATGTTCGTTTTATGTGTGTCTGATCAATCAGCTATATCAAGGGCAGGTTCAGGTATATATCAAGGGCAGTTTCAGGTATGGTTTTTTGGAGGGAAGGATGCTTATATATCACCAATATAAACTTGAAAGACAGTATATTCCCCTTATATAAGGGGCACATGACCGCCACATACTGCCCTTGATTATTGTGCCCTGGCTAACATGGAGCCTCGAACGCAGGGGCCCACAGAGGAGTAGCCTTTACGGGGGGCACCCCCTTTGCAGGTCGATTTCCGGTTGGGAAAGAAGGGTTTGGACACTTTGGGAGGAGAGGGCTTGAAGAACTGTAGCCGTTTACCCTGAGCTCAAGCCATTCTCTGTGTTGCTGGCCCCAAAAAACTCCCAAGGCCCAAGGGAGTATCTTGAGAATTATGGACCTGACCTGAAATAGATAGCCAGGCAAGCGGAGAGGTTTGAGAATGAATATGAGGTGAAGCGGAGATATGGATGCTATCTAACCATCAGGCTGTCGGATAGCTGGCATTTGCCTTGAAACAATCTTCGTGGCAATCATGACCATCCGCCACACCCTTTGCCGAAACCAAGTCAGCCTCGAGTGGCGAGACCTTTCTCATGGTCGGTGGAGTACGCCGTCTTTTTGGAGGGATGGTGGGAGGGGCGGGGGATTGGGATAATTTTCAGAGTGAGAAGGGATCCCAAGAAAAAACACATCTAAGTACTGGGCGTTGTCACCACCCTCCAGAGTGCGAGGTCTTTATGCTTTGGCCATGGTTTTGGTGGACCTTTTTCTTGATTTTCGAGCGACCTGTGGGCCCATCAACCGAAAGGGAATTCAACTGGTCAGCTTCCCTATAGCTTCCCTCAAAGTGACGGTTTGGATGATTTGATGGTTGGGTAGTTTTCCATTTGCCTTCCGCAAGAATCAGTTTCATTCAACTGATCCAAACCTCCAATCCAAACCAACCTGAAGGGTTGCATACCGGGGCTTAACTTTTGCAGCTAAATTCTGGTTCGCAAACTCCTCTGGGGTCAAACGAGTAAACATTCGAACCAGTTCGTGGATGCCTTGCAATGCATTTTGTCTCATTATGAGAGAGTCTCATTGAAACCACAAAGAGGCTGGTTTCTCTTTGGCTCCCTTTGAAGCAACCAAAAAAGGGCACCCCAAAATCAAACACACGGGACATGGGTGGAAAGCAGACACTGAGTCGGGTGTTGTTTCATCCTGGCTGAACAAAAAAAGACGTCTTTCAGACTCGACTCAAGCAGCGCTGCCACAGAGTCTTCCAGTTTCAGATCTCTTACTGCGCATGCCTTCATTGGTCTCTTCCTATCCACTCGTCTGTTGCCAAGCACTTTCATTACCAAACAGAGATAAAAACTGAAGGCAACTGAAGCACACATGCCAGAACTAACCAACAAGTGATGTGTACATGTCCCCCTGGAAAAACAAGAGAGGGTGGAAGAAACACAGGGGACCTATGATGAGTAGCAATCGGTTGACACATGGACCCCCCAGTTGTGGATTTCCCACCCGTTTCCTGGTTGAAATTTCAGGCGTGCAAACTGCACCCATTGGTATGCTACCTGATTGTTACTCAGTCTAGGTCCTCCAGTGGAGAGGTTAGAATAAGGGTACCCTTTTTTCTGTAGTCTAGGGGAACCCTCCCCCAAAAAAGGGTAAAAGGGCACTCCTGGGGGACCTAGCAGTATATGGGCTCTGCCCAGTTTGCCGTAGCACCCAGAGGCTGCTCAGCTCTAAGTGACTCTAAGTGACTATGTTTTGTTTCTCCCCAGACACCTCCATTTGCCGATACCCACAGTGAACACACACATATTTCCAGTCGCAAACTAGATCCTTAGAATGGAATAACCCATCTTCATTTCACATGGCAGACGTCTGCGCATCCATTCTATATCCCCTTCGGTGTCCTTTTGCGCGGCACCTGCCGCTCGGACCGCCCCGGCCTCGATGCGGAAGCTGGTCCTGCGGTTGGTGGGCGCCTCGTTGGGCAGGAACTGGCCGTCCTCGAAAGCGGGCCGCAGGCGCAGGCTCCGGATGGGACGCGTTTTGGGAGTTGGACGCCCCAAACATGGCGTCGAGTTTCCTTTCGCACCACCAAAAGGGAACCCTCAAAAAACGCCCAGATACAAGGGGAAAACCTATGGGACACCAAGGGAAGCTACACTTTATAACGGGGAAAACCAACGGGGAAAACCAAGGGCAACCCACCATCAATGGCAGGCAACAAAGGGAAACTACCATCTGCAAAAGGGGAGATGCTTGGTAACTATAATGGCAACTATCTCTGGTTCAAGTGTATGGCGAGCAAACGGGAGTCAGCCACGGATGTGCTGAGAATCTCCACAGCTTAATGATGGCCCTTATATTCATCTGCCCTGCTGAGGCCCCACATTTCTTGGTCAACGTGAGCAAAAAGCCATTAAACCATTCTATCGCCATCGTTGTAGCTGAGGCAAAGACATTTCTATTCGCGGACCCGGTATAAGAGCTTTTTGACATGTAACATGGATATGGCGTGGTCTATAAATCCAACTTTTAAATTTTGATTGAAGTACGATCATGTTACTCATCTGGAGGTGGAGAGCTCTGGTGATGGACCTGTAGGGAAGCAACCGAGCTGGAGGTCCATCCGAGGCTGAACATTGGGCGAGCTGAGCTGAAGAAGTCTGCTGTTGCTTCTTCCCGCGAACACAAGGGGCTTTTGTTGGCCGGCGTTGCAACCAGGAAAACGATGCTGGCGATCCCCGTGTGCGAATGCGAACGCCCTAAACTCGGGGGACCGGAACCCCGGCCCTCAAATGCAGCGAATTCGCCCGTCGCCCGGGCCTCCAGCTGACATGTGAGGTACCTGCAGCAGGCGGACGGGTCGCGCGCCAAAATGACCTCAACGCTAAGGCACACCAGAGCCCCTTGGCTTAGGTTGAAAGACGGAACATCGCGTGGTCACCTCCCTACCCACAAAGGTATTATACCTTTCGCCTGGAACCCCAAAGCAAAGAAGAAAAAAGGCAAATTGGTCTGAGGCTCCCACATGGCGCCCTTGAGGGCGTCGGTGAGCAGGGGATAGCGCACCGGCCGATCCTCGAGCCCCCCGTGAAACCGGGTGCTGTGGATCAGACTGGGCGACAAGTCGACAGCGATGGCCCCAATCCCGGGCAAGGGAACACTTTTGACCATAAATCTTGGATACTACGGTGAACAAAAACTAACATATTCATGGAACTTGCAAATGAGGCTGGAACTCACTAACATAGAGCCTCCAAGCCTAGTATTTTACTAAGATAGACTTCCCGTAGACTCGGGGGGGGTCATAGGTATTTGGCGGACAACATTCTGTTCAGCAGGTTGGCTACCCGGGTTCCATGTATGCTGAGGACCCCTGGTTTTTGGTTTTTGTTTGGCATCATGACCAGGTGCCTATGTTGGTACTTGCATTTGGGTCCAGAGTCCACAAAGCGTACCCCAAGTTTCCTATTCGTCACCTCCAACAGCAACTTGCCAAACTAGTTTCTGGGAGGACATAAGCTCGCATGGAATCTGGTGGGGTCAGCTTGGGCGTTGGAGGGAGGGGGGGAGGGGGCTGACACGGGGTATGGCCGGTACGGCTGTACGATGTGTCCAAGGTGGGTTGTGCCCAGTCTCAAATGACACAAGACTCGTTGAAGCGAGTCTTCTGACGGGGGCGCTTTTTGAGTCAGGACTCACACCACATCCATTTCTACTCCCAACCAGAACACCACTCACATAGTCTGCCCACAGACCCCAGCGAAGAAACAAACTACGTAAAGGGTGTCTTGAAATAAGGGTGTTTTCAAATAGCGGACCCACCAAATGCTGGTTCTCCTCTTGGTTTCCTTTGACACCAACCCCAACAAAAATACCCTCAAACACCGCCACACACATACCTCAACTAGGTCCTTAGGGGAACTCTCTAAAAGGGCTCTACTGGGGAACCTGGCTCAATCTATTCCTTTGGCACAGGAGAATGATTTGCTTCCAAGCCGCGAAGGTGATGTTGATGTCGAAGCCCAGGCCGTCAAAGCCCAGCAGAGCCCCTGCGATTTGGACAGTTCCTCTTGCTCTTTCAAAGCACGAAAAACAAATTGCCCGTTCTTGGTCACAGGGCTGCCTTTGTCATCCTTTTGCGCCTGCCAGCAAGCGGCACACCTTGAGGACTGCCACTTCACACGACAATTGACGCATCAAGAGCTCTGAATGACAAAGCCAGACACAGCAGCGGCTTGGGATTCGGGGTAAGTTTGCACCCAGTGGCCTACTTGTCGCTCACCGGGAACCAGGAAAAACATGGCACAAACAAGCTCAGCACTCCATGTGCGCGCAGACACAAACATGTGTGTGTGTGTGTGTGCAAACCCCGTTTGAAGGCGCGTTGACCCGTCTTCCTCTCCCCCTCCCCACTCCCAGGCACCGTAGATTGGACTGATGCTCGTGATCAGGGGCAGCGGGCAAGTGTCTGCCGCCAAAGGGCCTCAACTGTCAAACTGTCAACCACCAACTGTGAGCTCCGCAGGTTGTGGTTGAAATTCACTGGCCGCTCTGTGGCGGAAACATCCGGATTCCCCAGGTTGGCCAGTTTCCATACTGGATACTTGCCCGACATCTGCCTGTGACCAAAACTAAGACGGGGGTGGGGTTTAGAAGAGCGTCACCGATGGCCCGGCTTTGCTTCCAAGACCGTCGGGTGCAAGTGGGCACAATTTTATTGGATGTCGTTTTTGAGGAGCCAAAAGGAAGACCGAAGCCATTTTGAAGGTCCGATTCCTAAAGAAAGACACTACTTGTGCGCTCTTCAGGGGGCACCTGTGCAAAGCGACCATCCAGTGCGTGGAAGACAAATGGTTCAAGAAAGGGAACTAGGGAATGAAAAAGGGAACCAACAAGCCCGCCCCAACGTTTTTTATGGAGTAACACTCCAATCTAAACCAGTGGAACCCATCCGTTTCTAGCCAACCTGGCTGTGGGTCAAAACTCTGTACCCCTGGTGAACATCAAAATAGGTGGTACATGGGTGTTCCTCCGCCCCAAAATGGAGCCATAGGTTATGACTCATGGACACCTCATGAACCCCGCGAGTCGTGCTGGCCACCTTGGTCTGACCGCTGAAATGGGTTTCCCACGCCAGGGACGTACTGAAATGGGGGGTCGAAACCCTACTTTCAGTGAACTAGACTCAAGTGGGCCATTAGTTTTGACCCACAGCCAAATAGGCTGAAACGCATTCTCAGGGAAACCTACCTCCACTATCCAGGAAGGGAAGGGTCGAAATTAGTCACCACCAGGAAACCGTAGGGTTTAGTCCGTGTTTCCATTCAGCAGGGTAGCCCATTTTGGGGTTACCCTATTTCTGACGCATAGCCAAATAGGTTTCTGACCACGACGGGAAAGAGAATGCAGTACCAGCCCTTCAGCCATTCTTCATGGGCCATTGCCCCATGGCTCAAACCAACAGCACGAAACAAAATATATAGACGCTACGGCGCTCTTGTAAAATTGGAGCTCCCAAGGAAGGTTGGTTGTCCTTTTTGTTTTTTCCGATTTAACACCGGGGTGGGTTCCCCCCTTTTTTGAGAAACACCACGAAACTTGCCCATGTGGCCAGGTCGTTTTGTTGTTAATCTTTCAAGTTCAGAGAAGAACGTCTGATTTGGTCTGGGTCGTTTTGTTGTTAATCTTTCAAGTTCAGAGAAGAACGTCTGATTTGGTCTGGCATCCCCAAACAGCGGCGCCCGAAGGTCATGTTGGTTCTACCATGTTGCTGTATCCGGGTAAGCCCAAATAGGCTCTGGAACAAAGATGTACCTCCATCCGGTCTATGAGGGCCCAGCAGAGGCTGCAGGGAACACCTGGCCGGAAAGGGACGCCTCTCTTCAAAATCCTTGTAACATGTCATCCAGCCAAAGGTTTGGTGGCTTGGTTGGGGAGCTTGGTGGTTTGGTGGCTGGTAGAGTGAGAAATACCTTTCAATTTGCCGTCAAACGCAACACGTCAAGCTGATCTTCCTGTGACAATGTCGGAACCCAAAAGCTCGGAACTCCTTGTGCTCGAGCCTTCCCAAGTGCTGGATCCATGTCGCCCTGTAATGCCAGGAGGGAGTCATGGCATGGATCGAGGCTTTGAATGATTGGACTAGCTTTTTATGCACAAGACGAATGAAACCTGAACACTCCATCTTTGGCTTCTCAGTGAACCCCAGTCGTCTGCACCCCACTTTTACAGTCGCCTGGTTGCGGGGGAAGAAACAAACACAACGAGGTGTTGTCTTTGTGCTTCAGCTTACCGGTTTTCTATTGACAAAGTTATCGCCCTCTCCATTTGCTTTTGGCCTCACTCAACAACTACAATATTTACCAGACATTGTTTTTCAAGCACAAAAGGCGGACGTGCAATCACCTTCAGCAAGTTTAAGGATTTGGGGCAGCGCCTGCCTTGCAAATGCGTAAGTTCTGATTCCCGTGGGCTGCTGACAGCACCAAATTAAGTTGCAGGCCGGTCCTAGCTATTTGTATCCCTTGTTTGGTGCTTCATTTGTGGGATTGGGCCAGGCCATGACTTCCATATGCGACGTGCATCACAGAACATAATTTCGTACATAAGGTGTTGCATAAGATGTCATTTGCCCAGATTCGCGGTGGAATTGCGAATCTTGGCATGCGTGCAATCCTTCACACAGCGGTTCCCCAGTGTAACGGTTGGATGCGATTTGGGTATTGCATGAGATCAAGAACGGCAAAGCACTTCAGATAGTCCGAAACAAAATGCTTCTTGTCCTAGAAACGACACGAAGCGGGGCAAGCTTGCAATGTGCGAATATGGTGTAATCCCAAGGTGGGTGTGGCCCCACAGTGAAACACAAACACCCTTAGCTCCTCGAACATCGGACAACAACCACCCTATCACATGCATTCGTATGTCACAGTGGGGGTTCGTCCCAATTGGAGAAACACCAATGCTTCCGGAAAAAAGTGCGCTTTGTGACTCGCTGCCAGTTCTACGTTGGTGGCAGCGGGAGTTCAGCACACAACAATAAACGGGGGGACGAGTACGCCACT